TAAGGTCCGAACGCAAGCGGCCCTTGCGTTTTCAACTCCCAACAAGCGCCCAACTCTGCGTCTCATCAATAAGATGCAGAGTTAAGGCCCAGAACGCTGTTTTCAGCGTTTTGACTCGTTCAAAACACTAACAGAACGGTTTCAAAACCGTTTTCCCCACTATTTCGGGAGCTGTTTAAGAGGGGGTGGTTACACCCCACTCAGCCCATGGAGGAGCTAATTAAGGGGGCAGTTACCACCCCTAAATCCCCTATAAATAGTGGGAAACTCAACTGAGTTCGGGCTCTCCTTTTTGGCTGGCTTTTGGCTCTGGGCTCTGGGATCCTTCTTTTTGGGCAGCTTGGAGTTTTGGAGACCAGCAACAGGAACCTTTTCCTTGGCTTATTAACCGAACTTTCGGTTTAAATCAACTCTTTCATAGAGATAAACTCGCTCTGAGTTATCAACTCGTTAAGAGTTATTTTTAAGACTCTTTTTCAAGAGTTTCAAACTTGATCAGAGTTCAAAACTTGCTCTGCAAGTTCTTCTAAAACTCATTCAGAGTTATCAACTCGTTAAGAGTTATTTTCAAACTTGCCACGCAAGTTCTCCACAGCGTCAAATCGTGAGGAGAAGACCACGTTCCAGTGAATCAAGACGTGCAGATCGTCAACGAGAAGCAAACTCGACGCGAGCATTCGAGGGAGGCATCTCATCACCACCGTGAAGAACCAGAATTAAATAAAGGGGTGAATCAAATTCATTCTCCTCTCTTTTGTAATCGGAATCCAAATTGTAATTGATTTTGAGAGAATACAAGTCAATTTTTCTTTCATTGTCTTTTTACTGCAAATTTCCAACAAACATTCACTGCGGCACTTAGTCACTCTTTCCCTCACTAGAATGGCTAAGTCAGCCTAATCCCTCAAACACTCACTCAAGAGAAGGGAAGAGAACACTCAAGAGTGGAAGTGGAAGCTCTTATTGCTTTATTACTTAGCAACTCTTGGTTGATACAAATGGAATGCTTAGCCCCTTATTTATAGGCAAAACTAGCTTACAATAGATGTCTATGATTAGCCTTCTAGATTGTTCTTACAACCAATGGTGAGGATTGAGTCTCTAGACACTTCTCCTAAAATATCTCCCTAGATATTTACATGAGACTTTTCTAGAAGCTTCTAGATACAAGATATTTATCATACCTTTATTATCCAAGAAAACTCTAGAAAACCCTAGGATCTTTATGGACCAAACCATGAATAAGTGACTCCAAATGCACCCAGTTGAGTCAAAATGGGGCGGTTCGTGACATGCACGCGTGCGTGTTATGCAAAACCCACCCAATACAAAACCCAAAACACTACTCGAAGCCCAATAAGAGGTGTTTCAATATAAACCCCTTACTATTCATCTCAATTTCCAATGTGAGACTATTCACAAAGGCAAGATTGCCTTTTCATGAACAACATAGCCAACAAAATCTGATGTGATAAGTTTTTTACATTTCACCTTCATATATACTTTTAATCATACTTCCTTTAAAAGCACGAGTTCAGAAAATCTTTTTTAGACAAATATACTCCTTTATAGTTTGAACTACCTTATCTATAATCAAATTCTAATTTTCAATGGTCAATATTACCCTTCACTATTTTGAATATTTTATTTATATCTTAATCTATCCTAATCATAATCATATCTTATCCTAATCCTATGTGAACCATGTTTAGCTTAACAATTTAAAAAAACTAATATTAATAAAATATATAAAACATAAAAATGATATTAGTTTGTTAAGATAAAGAAATTACAAGTAGATAACATATTATAATACATGAAGTATTGCAAAAAAACCATAAAAAGTTTTAAAATTGCAGAAAAGAAGCTGAAAAGTTCAAAATTATAAAACTCATCCAAATGTCTCAAAACTTAAAATAAAAAACATGAAATTAAAAAATTAACATCAGTTTGCAAAGAATTTAAAATTTACAATTAACACCTCAATGTCTCAAAAATTATAGAAACACCCTCAAAAGTTTAAATTACAGACAAGCACATTAAAATTTTAAAATTTTAAAACTTACAAACAACACAGATGAATTCAAGAGATTACCATGATACACCTAAAATTTTTGACATTTAAATTTAAATTTTTTAATTAACACCCTCAATATCTCAAAAATTATAGAAACACATTCAAAAGTTCAAATTATAAAAAACCACCCTAAAATTCTAAAATTTGTAAATAAAATAAGATGAATTCAAGATATTACCCTTAGACACCTAAAAAATTAAAATTTGCCAAAATTAACCTAAAAATTTTAAAAAAAACTCCTTCAAAATTTAAAAATCGTAAAAAAAACTCTAAATTTTCAAAATTTTTAACTAGCACACATCAAATTCGTCGATTGGTAGACCGCTGAAATTTAATATTTTTCAAAATTAATCTATAGTTTTAATAATTGTAAAAGACACCCTTAAAATTTTAGAGTTACAAGAAATATACTAACATTTAAAAAATTACCACCAACACATGAAACATAGAATTTATAACTACCAAACTTAAAAATAAATTTTTAAAAAACTCTTTTAAAATTTTAAAAATTATAAACCACACCCTCAAAATTCAAAACCACAAAAATGGGCTAAAATTTTAAAACTTGGCAAAGAAAAGTGTAATTGTTTGGTATTTTTCATATATATATATATATATATATCTAATTTAGGGATTTACTATCCATTTTCAGCATCTAAGAATAGTCTAAGTTGATACTGGTAAACAAAAACAATAAGAATTGATTAAAAACATCCGGTTAATGGATAAAATTTTTAAAAATATTATAGATTAAAAATTATCGGCACTATATAAATTAAAGTAATTTCATATAATTTTAGTAATAAGTTGGGGTAGCCAAAATACATTCGTAACATTAATTGATAGATGTTTAAATCCATAGAAATGATAAAACACTATAATATTATACCTTAGCATTAATTGATTTTAATTTAGAAACTTTAATCTTTGACGTTAATAATATTTATAGGGTAAAAGAATACAAGGAATTACATATGGAGAAACTATTAGAATATTTAGAGATAACTTTAAAAGAATTGAGTTATTTCCATTGCAAATGGGAAAGTGATGGAAATAAATCTAAAATTCAGAAAACGTCAATGAATCACTTGAATTGGCATTAACATAAGACATATCTATTAATGAAGCACTGAATGAGTTACATTAAAAAATAATTTAATAACTTTATCCTAATCAAAGAAAAAATCTCCATGGAAGACATAAGAAAAATTAGTAAGTATTCATAAATTCCATACTGTGTTCTTCAAATTAAATATTAATATTATAATCTAAGAGAAATTGGTAATGAATAATGCAGGTATTTAGTTTAGATCTTTATGGAAAATGACAGGGATAGAGCAAAGGTAATATTATTGAAATAACAGAAATTCTTATTGGATGCACATCAGAAGAATTCATTTTAGAGGAAAATAAAGAGATAGCTTCTAATTTATTTAAGTAATAAATTAGGAACACAAAGAATTTTATATATATGAAATTAATATTTATTCTCATTGAAATAGAAAAAAAATCAAAGTCTATATTTTGAGCAGTTTGTGTTGAACATCATAAGTACATTTGACTTCTTTGTAAAGTTAAATGAGATGATAAAAAATTAACGAGCCTAGGAAAGATAATAGCATAAAAAATACAAAATTAGCCTGATGTCACAATTGATGTAGATGATGAAGACAATACTCTAGAATTGTCTGAGAAATGATAAATGATAAACCTGAAGAAGGATTGATCTTAACTCAATAAAAAATAAAATAGAAGAAATAAAAACAATATTTTATGAATATTTTATAGAATAGTTTAATTATTTTGAGTGAAATTAGGAATATTTAGAATGGAGTTTCATGAATTTTTTTCAGTACTTTTATATTCTTATGTGGATGTTTTTATCATATAAAAGTATATTAGAGTTAGCATTAATCTTTAATTTATATTTTTTTATGAAGTCTATCAATGATTAGAAATAAACTTCATATTCTCTTTTGCATCATTTTAACATACTTTAAATCAATCATTTTGCCATATTGGTTTTAAATATTCACCTTCCTTGTATAACACTATTTTAATATTTTTCACTTTGCAATGCTATACTTCCTCAAATAAAGTTTAGTTTCATATCGGTCAAAAATAATATAAAAATTCAAATTATTTTTAAATTATATTTGTTTTTTGTCAATTCAAATATCAACATGAAAATTTAAATTGGGTGTATCCCATTTAAACAAACATAAAAAAATAATCAGGATGTAAGAGTTTAAAGAAAAAAGTGAGCACAAACTGTCAAAAATACTTAATCATGGTATTAAATCACGTGCATTGCACGTGTGTAAAAACTAGTTAAACAAACATTGGAAGTGATAAAATCAAGTCATTTTTTCACACTTTCAATCAAACAAACACCTCGTGTATCCCAAAAAAATCTAATATTTGGAAAGTTGTAATTTCTTGAATCTATGATACGATTATACAAATCACGGTGCCAAACAGCCCCTTAAAAATGCCTGCGGATTCTAAATTTATACGCATATTCCTTAATGGACCACCTCACCTGCCGTCATCATCCACATCTCACCCGAGGACGGCCAGTAGTAACCGCATAATAGATCTCTATGCGGGCAGTCTCAGTATTAGGTAGAAGAAACTGATACCGTTACCCCATTTCCTAATTCCACGTCATCGACGTGCTACAGTTACAGAGCGTGCATCTACTTAAGCAGCGTAAACTTAAAATGACCCAGTGGAAATCCATCTACAGACGTGCACGTCGATTCGTACACGTGGCGTATCTCAATTCGTTCCGCTCGCCGTCTTCATCCGATCCGTCCGTTTCCTCCATCGGACGGCCAGCAGATTAAACTCCAGGCTCGGAGGTAACGATACGGGGCGGTGACGAGAAAGCTCACTCTCTGCAGCTTAAAATCCCATTTCGATCTCGTTTTCACAGTGAAATCCAATCTGTTTCTTCGATCTGGTCGCCATGGCGATCGCCAAGTCTCCGCGTCTCGCCGCCGCCGCCGCTGCGGTTCTTGCCCTAGTCTCGATCGCAGTTGCAGAGGTCTACTTCGAGGAGAAGTTCGATGGTATAGATTCGATCATCTCTCTATAATTGCTTGTTGATTTGTAACTGCATTTGATCTTAATTGATCCGATCTATCTCTCGAATGTGCGATCTGTACTTTGATCATCGCTTCCATGATCCAAGCTGTTTCATAATTGTAATTAGGATATTGATAGATTATTTGGATAACTGGATCAGTTATCTCAAGATTTACACATTCTTGATTTTTTTTGGGTTTTATTGTCTGGATCTGTTCAATTTTCTAAGAAATGGCTTACCAGCAGATTACTTGATCCCATGTGTATTTTAGTTTGCTAATTGTTTTTCCCCCGGATTTACTCTAGGGTTTAGGGTTTATGAATTACCGTTTAGTAAATTGTTATTTGTAATGCGTATCAAATTGTGCAGTTTTTTTTAATTGGGGAAATTTCCCTCTCTAATTGGATCTGGTGTGGGTTTGGAGTGATTGTCCGAATCTACATCAGTTTCCAATATAATGACTTAGTTTATTGCTTGGTTTTTGTATGCTCTGTTCATTATTTGTTTGTTTACTTTGGGGTTTAGGGTTAAAAATGCGCTACTGCAGTAAAATGTATGAGTTTTTACGGTATCTTGTGTAATTAAGTCTTAAGAAGGGATCTCATAAGAACAAATTTTTTAAACAGACCCATTTCAATTTTTAATTTTCAAAACCGACTCTTTTTTTTTTTATTTACCAAAACCGACCCGATTTTATGATTAGCAGATTAATCACCTTCCTAAATAGTCGGGGTTGGCAACCCCGACTATTTAGGACGGTGTTAAACCCTAATTAGAAGCATTAAACCCTAAAAATTAATGTCCTAAATAGTCGGGGTTGCCAACCCCGACTATTTAGGAAGGTGATTAGTCTGCTAATCACAAAATCGGGTCGGTTTTGATAAATAAAAAAAAAAAGAGTCGGTTTTGAAAATAAAAAGTTGGAATGGGTCTGTTTAAAAAATTTGTTCATCTCATAATCATGGTTGATTATTCTTGCTGGTTTCTTAAAAATGATTTCTTATTTGTTTTAAGATAAACTTATTCAGTTAACTAGTTTAAAGTTGTTTTCATTAAAGATGCACCTGGGTGAATAGCTTAGTTTCATTCACCGTTATGGTAAACAGTTTTATACCATCTGACCGTGCCCAGCCCAACAATTTGACATGCCAATTGTAAAATTTCATTATTAACGTGTATGTTACTTAAATGAAAATTTTCCTCAATATATTTCATGAATAGTTGCTTGTTGTCTGGAGATCCTTCTCCGGTAACCCTCCCCCTGAACTATCTGTCTCAGAACCAGATTTTTGTCTTACCCGACTTCCGATAAGATCAGGTTGTTGTCTAGAGATCAATACATGCTGGTAGACTGGTAGTGCCTTCTTCTTCTTTTTTTTCTGAAGTTTAGGAATATACATATTTAATACTGGTGAAGCTTGGTTTCTAATAGTGAATAGTTTGATTCTAGAATTTTTAGCATTGATGGATGGTACGAATTTGATACTGAAAATCAACCTACAATTTCTGACAACAGTCAAACCTAGATCCACTATGAAATTTTTTGCAGCATTTCAGTTTCTGTGATCTAATAGTTGCTCATTCACTTTGAGTAAACTTGAAGCTATGAACATCTTGTATGGCACTAGTCGGATTGCAAGTCGGTTAGCTCAAGGAATCTTTTATTTTGGATGTGCATTTTTCTTCCCAAGGCCAAGTGATTGTTGTGGTCACCCTGTATCAAAACAGTCTTAGGACTGGCAACTGTTGCACTTAGTTTTCTGTACCACAGTCTTGCATTGTTATTTTTGTCCTGTAATTGATTCATTTTTAATGTTCGTTTTTCTAACTGGTTGGGTTCATGCTGCAGATGGTTGGGAGAGCAGGTGGGTAAAATCCGACTGGAAGAAGGATGAGAACATGGCGGGTGAGTGGAACCATACATCTGGGAAATGGAATGGGAACCCGGAAGATAAAGGTAATTGAAATGTTGTATTATTCTGTCAAAATTTGTAAGCAAAATTCAATTCTGTGCAGCCATAATGTCAGTGTTGTTTTGAAATATAGTCAATTTTGCTCACTAAGGATGATTTAACTGTTTAAATTTGATGCAGGCATCCAAACCAGTGAAGATTATAGGTTCTATGCTATCTCTGCACAGTTCCCTGAGTTCAGCAACAAAGATAAGACATTGGTATTCCAATTTTTAGTGAAACACGAACAAAAACTAGATTGTGGTGGAGGCTACATGAAGCTACTTAGTGGTGATGTGGATCAAAAGAAGTTTGGTGGGGATACCCCTTACAGGTAAAAACTTAATTGAAAACTTCTAATTATTATACATATGTGTTTTCATTGTTTCTTATTAGAATTATTTTTGTACTTTGTGCTTGCAGTATAATGTTTGGACCAGACATCTGTGGATACAGTACCAAGAAGGTCCATGCTATTCTTTCTCGTGATGGGAAGAATCATTTGATTAAGAAGGATGTTCCATGTGAGACTGACCAGCTGAGTCACGTATACACTTTCATTCTCCGTCCGGATGCTACATACAGCATTCTTATTGACAATGTTGAGAAGCAATCTGGAAGCGTCTATGATGAGTGGGATATTCTTCCACCTAAGAAAATTAAGGATCCCGAAGCCAAGAAAGTAAGTTGATGTATCTACTCACCTTTGCTTTCATCAATGTGCTTAATTATGTTCTTCTAACTACTAACATATCGACAACCTGTATCAGCCTGAAGACTGGGATGACAAGGAGTGGATTCCTGATCCAGAGGATAAGAAACCTGAGGTGTGTGCATGTCATTCTTCACATTTTCTTTTATTGGTTCTTAGTCTCTTTAGCTATTCTTTCTATGTGATGTTAGTTGGTAGTATTTTTATCGGATATGAAACCAGTCATGCAACTTATCGAGAAAACTATATACTTTGGCAAGAAACTAGTTCTTGCAATTCGGGTTCTGAACAATTAATTTCTGATTCATTTCTCTTCATTGTTTTGAGAAGATTCTCTTTAGTTTTTATCAAAATTAGTCTGAGTTTTTTTCCCTATAGGGGTACGATGACATTCCTAAGGAGATTACTGACCCTGAAGCCAAAAAGGTTAGCTTCTTATACTAAACAAATATCAGCTTTTCGTGACAATGAAAAAATGTTGACTCATTAAATGATATTTATTCTTGCAGCCGGAAGATTGGGATGATGAGGAAGATGGTGAATGGACCGCCCCAACCATTCCAAACCCTGAATACAAGGGACCCTGGAAAGCAAAGGTTAGATTAGAAAAAGCTATTCCTACCCAACGTTGGATATACTTCAATTTCATTGCAGAGCCCTTATTGTATCATTCACATGTTATCAGAGAATTAAGAACCCCAACTACAAGGGAAAATGGAAGGCACCAATGATTGACAACCCAGGTTACTAGATCATTCTTGAAACGTTTTATTTCTCCTTGTATCAAGTTTCCTTTCCAAGCAAATAACCTTCTACCTCTGCAGATTTCAAGGATGATCCTTACATCTACGCTTATGACCATCTGAAATATGTTGGCATTGAGCTATGGCAGGTGAGCTTAGACGCACTATATATATAAACTGGGTGGTGTTCGTCTTTTTTCATATGCTGACCTTCATTTTCTGTATTTCCCAGGTGAAATCAGGAACCTTGTTTGACAATGTTTTGATTTGTGATGACCCCGAATATGCAAAGAAGTTTGCTGAAGAAACATGGGGAAAGCAAAAGGATGTATGTGTCTTTTGGTACTAGCAATATTGCATTTGTATTTGACCGGTGAACTTAATTGTGGATTAAATTTTGCAGGCTGAGAAGGCAGCATTTGAGGAAGCTGAGAAAAAGGCAGAACCAGAGGTACTACAAATTCCTTCTTGTCTGTTTGCTGAATTTTTTTTGTTTAGTGATGCGATATAGTCAATGTTAGGACATATTTGAAAAGTTTAGGTAAAAATTTGTTGATTTTTATAGATTGCTTAGAGCAGACTTTTGACTTTCACAATATGCATTATTTGGGAATTCACTTCTATTATGTCTGCTGATTATATGAGTTCTAAGAGAATAATGCTGTTTGTATGAAAATAACTTTACCAGTTGGTTTGATTTACTTACAAGTTGATAGAAAGTCCTGCATCAGTATCTCTACTGTCAATAATACATGTGTTTCGGTGGAAGTAATATGTGTTTCGTTTTTGTCCAAGTACCTCTCTATATTGATTTTTGACCTTGATATGCTAAAGGAATTAATTTGTTTGTCTGATCAATTCATATTGCATGCTTATTTTGCTCTCTGGAGCATTCTGGACATCCTTTAACTCTTTTATCATTTAACAGGAAAAGGATGAGGATGATTCAGACATCGACGTAAGTTCCTTCCTAAGTTTTTTCTTAAACAACTAGTTTTTCAACAGCCATGTAATGCATATTCGAAAATGTCTTCTACAGCAAGATGAGGATGACAACGCCGAGGATGATGCTGGAGCCGGAGCTGAATCCGAAGTGGACGAGAAGGCAGATGATAGCGATGATGAAGACCGACATGTACAATTTCCCGTCCTTTCCCTTGTAAATATTTGAATGCAACGGTTTGTCTGTTCGCTTACGATTACGTTCTTAATCTCGTTGTAATTGCAGGACGAGCTTTAGAGAGAGGACAAACAAGGAGCATGGCGGTTATTTTTCTTTAGAGGAGATATATTTATTTGGGATTTATCACAATATTTTCCAGTGTCTTTGATGTTCCTGAGGGTGAAGGAAAAAAATGAACAGTTATACTAGTATTTAGTTTTGCCTGTGCTCGTCTCTAATTAGAGCCTGGACCACCTTAATTTTAGTGTTTTTAGGAGAAAGCATTTGTACCGGTTGTTGTGCCTGTTTAGCTTTTAGACCGGACTGTCTTCTCCTTTACTAATGCGAGTATAATTTCAGTGAGGAAATAATGAAAGCTTTCCTTCTCTCGTGGGAGTTCAAATGTTATACTGTCCGAGGATGTTCACGTGGGGGATGTTAGTTAATTGAGACATTTTCATGCGAAATGAGATAATTGTTAAAGCGGAATATTTTAGTGGGATAAATAGGAATAGGTTTGTGAAGCTAAATATGTAGATAAAATAACATGGGATAAATTTTTATAATTATGAAGTATATATTTATGCATTATGAGGATAATATAAATACTATTTATATATTTTAAACTTACTATTATTGATTGATAATCGTTTATGAGAATGTTATTTACTAATAACTTTTGATTAGACTATAAGATGTTGATAATTATTATTATAATATATGTTGTAGGTTTTTTATTTTTTAATTATTATTATAGTACAAGTCTATAAAAAAAGATTTTCACATTTTCCTTTCTTTTTTCCTCAAGATCTCTTTCTCTCATCTCTCAATTTTATTGTTTAATAAACTATGGGTTGACATAATCTTTACTTTTAAATTAATTAGATAATTATAAAATCTTTACTTTTAAATTAATTAGATAATTATAATATTTGATAAAAAAGAAAATATTATAGATGATTAAGAAGAGACGAGATCTGATTTGATGATATAATCTGATGATGATGATGATAATAATAGTAGGAAAGAAGTAAAGAAAAAAGAAATATTAAAAACATAAAAATAATAAAATAAATAGGAGTTCTAGTTTTTTTTACTAGCTAGTTCCAAACTAAAAGTGGGGATAATTTAAGAGACTAGCACTCTTATTTTTGTATTGAAAAATGAAAAAAGTGGGATAATTTTGTAGAATTATTTCAGTTCTAGTTTTGCTAGAATTCTAGTTGATTAACACTATAAAATTTTGTTATAATTTTAGTTTTAGTTGACTGACACTATAAAATTATCTCATAAATTATCCCCATAATGTTCTAGTTTTGAGTTCTATTTTATTACCCCCAGAATAGAATTTCTTTGTCTGGTCAAGTGTATATTTATGTCTCCATTTCCTTTAATCTTATATCTTCGTTTTCAAACATAGATCTCTCTCTCTCTCTCTTCGTTTTCAAGCATATAGATAGCCTTCTTGGTTTTCAAGCAAAAAAGATTAGTGTGTACATTGATAAGAGGAGGGGGAGGTGGGAGAGGAGGAGATGCAGAAGTTAGATTAATTAAAAGGTGGTAGTTTAGTCATATGCATAAAATTTGATTGTCTTAAAAGGAAATTTAAAGAAGATTTCAATTAGAGCTAAAATACTACATTATCCTAAAAAGTGATGTATTTTTACCAGTTTTGCTTAAAAAGTGATGTCGGTCACAATTTAGACAAAAGAGTGACAAATAAGCATTTCCAATGTTGGAGACAATGTTTAAGTAAAAAAATTAAGTGATTTTTGTATACAGATCCATTACTCACCCATATTTTCGAATTTATCCTCTCAAGTTCTAAAATATATAATAAAAAACTTCTCCACCATCTCCTGCCTTCTTTTCTTATCCCGATCCTCAATCTCCCCTCCTCTCTCCCACTCTCTTTCTCCCTCATTTTCCATATCCTCCCTATTACTTTCACTTTTTCCTCGTTCTCCAAATCCATCTCTTTTTAACTTTTTTTGCTTCTCTCTCTTCTTTGTGCTCTTTCTCATTCTTTCTCTCCCCCCTCTCATTCACTCCCTCGTAAAAATTCAAATAAAATGTTTGATGTTAAGTCTGAGAAAGAAATAGGAGGAGGAGATTGAGTTTTTGATGATTAGAGGCTGAAGGAGTGGGTAGAGTAATGAAGGAGAGGAAGAGGGAGTGGGAGAGGCGAAGAGGAGAAGAATGTTGGATGTTTGATAAAATACTTGATGTTGGATAGAACAAGGAGGAGGTTGGATTTTTGTTTTATGATTAAAAGGTGAAGAGGGAGCGGGCGGAGCAAGGAGGGGGAGGGAGTGAGAGAGAGGAGCGGAGGTTGAGTGATATGGGTGTATCTTCTTTCTTGCTTCGGGGGCATGGGTGCTTGAGGATAGATGATTCTCATGGTATCTTGAGAATAGAGTCGTGGACGAAGTCGTTGAAGGCGACAAAGTCGAAGAGTACAGGAAAACTGCAGGAAACACTTTGGACTTCCAGCGCTCGACCGCACGTGACGCAGCGGTCGACCGCGAACGTGCATAGCTCAGGGAAAGTCACTGGAATTTTCACGGTCGACCGCGATGGGTTCTGCGGTCGACCGCCAAAACCCTGTAATCGATTTATGTCTCGGTCGTTCTATTCGTTCGACCGCACATGTCTTTGCAGTCGACCGCGATGCGATTTTGGGCCTGGGCTTGGTTTCCTGCATTGTTTAGGATTTTTGTTTGATATAAGATACACGATTTTTCTAGGGTTTTCTAACCAGATTGTATTCAGAAACGAAATCAGAGTATCAGAGAGGTGAGATCATAACCAAGAGATTAAGGTTTAGAGAGAATTGGAAGATTGTTCTCGATTCTAGAGAGATTGTGAGAGATATATTTGTAATCTATTATTCTCATAAATCTAGAGAAGGTATTTTTCTTTGCAAAAAACTGAATTGTTCTTGTGTTTTCTATTGTCTTCTTCTCAACCCACCTTTGGTAATTTCGCGACCAAGGGTGCTCGCACGACGACTCGTATCATTGAGAATTGGGAGGAGAAGAGAATGAAAGAGATGGTGGAAAGGAGAAGGTAAGAATTAATATGGGAAAAGATGGAGGAGGACTGAGAGAGAGAAAGGAAAGTTGGGGATTGGAGAAGAAAAGAATGGAGGAGATGATGGAAAGGGGAAGGAGGAGATGGTGGGAAGGGAGAGTTTTTTTTTTACAAATTTGAATGGAGGAGATGGGGGAAGAAGGATGGAGGAGATGGTGGGAAGGGAGGGTTTTTTTTTACAAATTTGAATGGACGAGATGGTGGGAATGGAGGGTTTTTTAATACAAAATTTTTTTTTGGGGGGGTTAATCCAAAGACAATGGGAGAGTGAGGAGTCCATATGCAAAATAACTTAAGTTTTTTGCTTTAAAATTATCTCCGACACCGTAAATGCATATTTGTCATCGTATTTGTCACTTTTTAGACCAAACTGATAAATGGATATCACTTTTTAGACTAATATGATATTTTAGCCCTTCCAATTATATTTCTCAACAGTGATAATCTTTATAATTTTAGAGGTAAATTTGCAAATTGTATTATTTGAGGGGAGTTTATCAACGTAAGGGGGTGAATCCTAAAAAAGAAAAGAAAAAAAAGTCAGAGAACAAATTAGCATGGATTTCTTTCCAGACATGCAACTTTTGTGGATATTACCGGAAAACTAAGCACCTGCGATGCGTTTTAAATATTAGAGTTTATCCTGCCAAGCTAATCTTCTATCTAGTTAGGGCTAGAAATGCACTAAATAGGAACCCAAATATTCATCGAGTATTAAAATATATTCTTTGATTTTATATTCTTTAATCAATAAATTGAAATATTCGATTAAAGAGTTCCAAAAAAACGATTAAAGAGACACCCGAGATAATCTTTATAACCAAATTTGATCTATAATCACAACATTTTATATCTTTTTTTTTATCTAATATTACTCCCAACCCCCCCTCCCCCCCCCCCCCCCCCCCCCCCCCCCCCCCCCCTCAAGAATTCATCCAAAATAATATTGCTTATTGTGGGTTTCACAATAATCTTCATGTAACTTTGAACTTCTCTTGTTGTACCCCTCTATTTCTAATTTGTAAATAACTAAAATATTATTATGATAATTTTTTTTTTCAAATTTCATCATTCATCATTTTACAATAAATATATATTCTCGCACTAAGTTTTGACTTTTTTTTCCCGAGAAAATTTTTAGTTGTTTGCAAATAACATGCATGAGCCCGAGAGAATAGATGCAAGTTCTTGCAGGCAAACCCCAATCGTCAAATTCAGGGGGGTAATGTCAAATTAACCCAAATTTATTTGCATATATTTTATGCGACCACTTTCTCAGTTCATCTCTAGTCATTATTCACGTCCGACTCATGGATAGCTAGTAGGAACCGCATGAAAATCATGTTTTTTAAGATATTAGTCTCTTAAATCTTCAATAATTGAATATTAGTGACCCAAAATGTAGAAATTACATATTAGTCCCTTAAATCTTGGAAATTGCATGGTAGTCCCTCAAATCTTATACGAACTTGCAAAATGGTGTCTCTATTAGTATGTTAGTTAAAAATTTAATCATGATTGGGTGAACAGCTAAGCTAAAGTCTGCAGTCACCAAACTACCCCTCTCTGATGTTTCATCCTTTTGTGATGCTCAACTTTGTGTTAGATTTTTTTGCTGACCGTTAGAATAACTTAGGTGAGTTTAAATTTTTTAAAGCGGGTTTTGTGTTTAAACCTATCAAGAAATTGGTTGGGAACATTATATAGGGGTAAATGATTATTTTGCCTCTCACAATTAAATTTAAAGGAATAATAACCCCAAATCTAACGTGGCTTGACTCGAATGACCACTTTGCGAGAACCTATAGGATTTGAAATATTAAATTTCAAAGATTCAATGGACTAATATGAAATTCTTCAAAGACACAAGGGATTGATATGCAATTTCAAAGATTCAAGGGGCTAATATGCAATTCTTCAAAGATTCGAGGGACTAATATGCAACTATTGAAGAATTAAGGGACTAATACGCATTACTAACATTTGAGAGACTAATGCGCAATTATTTAAGATGTAACGTAATAATATCTAAAAAACACTATAATCATCGTGCCGATTATTATCACACCCCAGCTTTTGCACGAGGTAGAGGATATTGATACTCTTACCCCTCCCTCTCCAAAGTCCACGTGACCACCTGACCTCAAATGGTAAGGCGTAGACCTACCTAATCGGGATGAAATTAAATAGGTCTGCTGGATATCCAGCACGTCGATTCACACACGTGGCGTTTCTCAATTGGCTGTAGCCGTCAACATCATCAAATCGAAGATTCTGATTTTATCTCAGCCGTTCAATCCCCTCGACAAACTCGCGGAGGTAAGATCACCGAGAGGTGCCGAGACCCTTCACTCACTCCCCTTTATAGGCCCCATGTCGATCTAAATTTTCGCAGTCAAATTCATCTCTCATTATTCGATCTCGTCGCGATGGCGATCGCCAGGTCTCCGCATCTCGCCGCCGTCGCGGTCCTCGCTCTCGTATCCGTCGCAGTCGCCGAGGTCTACTTCGAGGAGAAGTTCGACGGTATAGATCCGATCTCTTATGATCTCCGTTGGATCTTTGTTGAGTCGATCTATCTCTTGAATGCGCGATCTGATCTCTAACTGTTACTATCGTGATCTGCATTTTCTGATAGTTTATTAGATTCTATTATTTGGATCAGTGGATTTTTTTTAGTTCTTGTTAGATTTGCCGTAGGGTTTTGGGTTTATGAGTTGCCGTTCATTAAATTATGCTCGATAATACACGTGACATTGTGTGATTTTGTTGGAAATTGTAGTTTTTGTTAGATCTGGTGTGTAGTTTTCTGAATCTACTCAGCTTTAATTATCTTGATTATCTTGATCTTTCATTTTTTGAGGAAATGGCTGGTTTATCTTGATCAGTAGTAAGTTATTTGATTTTTGTATGCTTTAGTTTCTTATTTGTTGTTAGATCTACTGTAGGGTCTAGGGTTTATAAGTTACCGCTCACTAAATTATGTTAGACTTAATTTATACTCTTTGAATTATGCTTGATAATGCATGTGAATTGCATATTTTTTTTGTGGGAAGTACAATTTTTATTAGATAGGTGCATAATTATCTGATCCTGATTCCATTTTTGATGACTCAAGTACATAAAATTGTTGTAGATTTACCGTGGGGGTTTAGGGTTTAAAATTGCCACTGCAGTAAAATTACAAAATTACCACAACATTATATGATCAATGGTTAACAGAAATTAAAAAGAGATATTCGTGCTTGATAACTGTTGCTGCTTTTTTATTGTTTGTAGATCATCATTAGTCGATTTGCATTGTCATTTACAGTTTGATAAAATGCCTTGATAAAATGCCTCAGCGACATTCATAAGTTTATTTAATGTTTCCAAATAGTTTGTGACCAGCACATTCATAAGTTTTCCGAATAGTGCATATTGCCAAAATAGCCTTCTTTAGTGAGTGACCTTCTAGACTGTCCTGTTGAGGACCAGGTTGTGTCTAGGGCATCTCTAACAGCTTCTCCAAAATTTTCTCCAAAATGGGGAAGCAAAAGTCATATTCTCCAACTAATTTTTACACCAACTCCAACAGCTTCCCCATTTTGAAGAATCCCTTTTTTCCTCCAAAAATTTGGAGAATGCTGTAGATTTGGGGAAGTTTCCTCATTTTTTTTCCTCCATCCCTATTTTGGGGAATGAGATGGGGAATCTGTTGGGCCAAAAACCTAACTAAATTCTCCAAAAGTGGGAAATGGGGAAGCTGTTGGAGATGCTCTACTTCTGGTGAGATTATCCTGATATCTTGAGAACAGTACATGCTAATAGTATCATAATTTGGTTTTTTAGGAATATCATATTTAATCTTGGGTCTAACTTTGCTGCTGCTAGTGGTTCTTGGATTAAGTTGGATTGAGTTTTAGCAGTGATGGATAATACTAGAAGATTCATAACCTAGACCAATTCCCATTGAAGTCTGCATTCTATCCATTTATGCTTCCTAGTAGTAGCCTCTCATTTACATTGAACAAACAAGTAGCCAAGTATAACCTTTAAGAAAAGAGATCAAGTCGTTATTTATTTATTTAGACTAGTCTAATAGCCAGTCAAGGTTCCAGTGCATTTATAATTTCTTGCAGTCAATTAAGAGAAACCTGTGAATCTGTATCCAAAATTTTTCATTTTATTTTGTGTATCATGGTCCTTTCATATTCATGTCTGTAATAGTTTGATCTTTTTAATGTTTTCTTTTTTCTTTTTAATGATTGGGTGCTTGCAACAGATGGGTGGGAGAGTAGATGGGTAAAATCTGATTGGAAAAAGGCTGATAACATGGCGGGCGAGTGGAACCATACATCCGGTAAATGGAATGGGAACCCTGAAGACAAAGGTATTTTCAAGTCTTCATATCATTGTTTTCAAAATGTTTGGACAATTTATACTTATGATCATATGGCATGTTTGTATACTTTTGAAGTATAGTGTGTTTGTATGCTTTTGAAGTAAGCATTTTTTTTGTTCAGTAAAGGTGATTTTTATCTGTTGAAATTTGCTGCAGGCATCCAAACCAGTGAAGATTATAGGTTTTATGCTATCTCTGCACAGTTCCCTGAATTCAGTAACAAGGATAAGACATTGGTATTCCAATTTTTAGTGAAACATGAACAAAAACTTGATTGTGGTGGAGGCTACATGAAGCTTCTTAGTGGTGATGTGGATCAAAAGACTTTTGGTGGGGAAACACCTTACAGGTGAACACATAGTGTGCAATTTCATTTTTCCTTCTTACTACACATCATCGTTTTCCTGTTTACTAATTCATATTATGTTTGTATTTCGTGCTTGCAGTATCATGTTTGGACCAGATATTTGTGGATACAGCACCAAGAAGGTGCATGCCATTCTTTCTCGTGATGGAAAGAATCACTTGATCAAGAAGGATGTTCCATGTGAGACTGACCAGCTGAGTCATGTGTACACTTTCATCATCAGACCAGATGCTACGTACAGCATACTTATTGACAATGTTGAGAAGCAAACTGGAAGCATCTATGATGAGTGGGATATTCTCCCTCCTAAGAAAATTAAGGATCCTGAAGCCAAGAAAGTAAGTTGATATGTCCTATTTGTCTTTTATTTCTTCAAAGAGCCTGATTTCGTTCTACTAACTTCTGCCATTCTGAAAAATGCGATCAGCCTGAGGACTGGGATGACAAGGAGTGGATTCCAGATCCCGAAGATAAGAAACCTGAGGTGCTTGCATATCCCAAATCACATTCTTTTTTGTTGGTTCTTAGTGTTCATTTAGCTTTTATAGCATATTTTTGCTATATGATGTTGGTAGTACTTTTATTGTTTCTGAAACTTATCGTTTTTTCTCTTATACTCAAGTTTTGCAAATGCTTATTTTATGAAATCATTCTTGTAATTAAGGTTTTTTGCTACTCTTTTCTGATGCACTGCTACTTCGCAACATACTAGTTGTATCCAGTGCACTTTAGTTTTTCATGTTTTAAAGACCTCATTATATTTAGATATTATTTTATTATACTTTTAGTTTTACAATCTTCATTAATGATTCACTTCTCCCAGTTGCTTTTTGCAAGTATCCCATTTTCCCTTGCAATTAGCTGAGATTCATTTTTGTTTCCAAAGGGTTACGATGAAATACCCAAGGAGATTACTGATCCTGATGCCAAAAAGGTTAGCCTCTTATACCCGGCTCACTAAATTTCATCATATCTGATGCAAAGAAAATATCTGAGTCATTAGATGTTATGCATTCTTGCAGCCAGAAGACTGGGATGATGAGGAAGATGGTGAATGGACAGCCCCAACCATTCCAAACCCTGAATACAAGGGACCCTGGAAGGCAAAGGTTAATGAAAAAAATATATTTTTACACATAATCGATTAAGCTTCACTTTCAATTCAAAACTCTTATTATACTGTTTTTACGCTACCAGAAAATCAAGAACCCTAACTACAAGGGAAAATGGAAGGCACCAATGATTGACAACCCAGGTCCTCAAGTTGATCTCAAAGCATTCTATTTCTCCATGTACAATATGGTTATTTTACTTACCAAAATAATCTTCAAATTGCTTTGCAGATTTTAAGGATGATCCATACATTTATGCTTATGATCGTCTGAAATATGTCGGCATCGAGTTATGGCAGGTTAGGTTAAATATACTAAACAAACTGTGTGGTATTCATCGTTTCTCTTATGCTTACCCTTAATTTGTATCTTTGCCAGGTGAAGTCGGGAACCTTGTTTGATAACGTTTTGATTTGCAATGACCCAGAATATGCCAAGAAGCTTGCTGAAGAAACATGGGGAAAACAGAAAGATGTATGTATCTTTAAACTAGCTGTACTCTTTCTGTATTGGATTGGTAAACTTAATTTTTTGGATTGAATGTTGCAGGCTGAGAAGGCAGCATTTGAGGAAGCTGAGAAAAAGGCAGAACCAGAGGTACTAACAATATTCTTCTTGTGTCCATCAATACCTTTTCTGCTCCAATACTTACTTTCGAAATTATATAATTTTTTCTATCTTTGGTTAACATTATGATCCGTTTGCTTTCAGCCTTCCAAACAAAGAAAAAGATATTTTTAGTATTTAATACCACCACATTGTCTTAGTGAGTAAGTTGTGAATGTTAGAGCATATCTGACTGATAACTAATCATGATAGTTCTAATAAACTGTTTTATTTTTGTGATAGATTGTAAAGTACAGACTTCCATAATGTGCTTTGTCTAGAACTTCTCCCTTAATCCCTGTTGACCTTTTACAGTTCTACAAGTTACTTTTCAGTTCTCTTGAGCATTAAAAACTCGTATTTAATTTATATACCTAGGATACATACGTTGCTACAAGCTATGTTATACCATGTGTTATGGGTTTACCTGCGCGTTCCTTGTATACAAGTTTTTGTTTATGTTCGCCTTCCTGTCTCCATTATGTTAAATGAATTTCATTATTTCTGTGTTTGTGTTCATGAGCCCATCCTGCTAGTAACATCAAACTAGGTGGATCTCACTATTCTCTTTTTTGGACCCTGAGTCTCCAATCTCTATGTTTATACATATAGCACATCTGAGTTATATACCTGTATTGCTTTTGCTGGTTCATATGGTGTTTTCTAGAGTAATCTGAACATCAATTAACTTTTTTTCTATTTGAAGTAAAGACATCAATTTACTTACTTGATCTCTTTCGTTGAACAGGAAAAGGATGAGGATGATTCAGATATAGAGGTGTGTTTCCTATTACCATTTCCCCAGTTTTTTTTTCCATTGGATTAGTTATCAGCAGTCACATAAATACATAATACATCCTCGTAAATTTCTTCTACAGCAAGATGATGATTCCGAGGACGATGCTGAGCCTGGAGTCGGAGCTGATGCTGGTGCTGAATCGGAAACGGACGAGAAGTCAGATGATGATGATGACCAACATGTACTGTTTCCTATCCTTCACCTGCAGATATTTGATAAACACAACTTGTGTTATACATCACGGTTTGCTTACATTTCATTCTTGCTGTCTTTGTAATCGCAGGACGAACTTTAGAGAGGACGTGCAAGAAGCACCGCAGTTATTTTTGGTAGCGAGTCGGTTAAAGATATTTCATCAGAGAGATGTTTAGGGGGTATAAAGAACTATATAGAGCCTGGAACCCTCTTCTCATAATTTTAGTGTTTTTAGATGTCTTGCAGAAAACATTTGTACCAGTGTTTTAGCTCTGATTGTGGGAACAAATACAATTTCAGGGAAGAAATAACAAAAGTTTTTCTTCTCTCGTGGGAATTTAAAAGTTTACCGTTGAATTTTATTTTTATTTATCTGGCATATTGGTACTGTGTTTTCTGCATAAACATGCATGTTTTGTGTTTAATTAACTGTTTCGCTATAATTTCTGGATAAAAAACCTTATTCTAATACTTTACTGTAGGAGCGGACTGTTGTTTTGTACTAAAGAAGAGATTAAAATAAAAACTTCTAAGTTATCCACTTGTTCTCACGAATGACTTATATTATGTTCATGTGCTGATATTGTGATAACATTTGGAAAACTAGACCTCCAAACGTTGTAATTAGTAAAATTTGCAGAGCTACTTCACGAAGAAATAAGGGCTCTTTTGGCTATAAGCTTAAATTTCCCCTCCAATTCTATCAACGAATTATATTTAAATTCACTTTTATGTATTTTGATTTTGAAGACTTGCTACAAAGCTTCTATCTTTGCTATATTAAGAAAGAACTTCAGGTATTTAAGTGCAAGTTTTAAAACTTTAGGCTATATACTTGCAGCGAAAAAAAAAAGTAATGATGTATAAGTGTAAGTTTTAAAAAGGCTAAATTGTATAAAAATACAGCATTACCATTTTCCCTGAAAAAAAAAAGGAGAATATTTTGAAATATTCCCAATTGATTGTCACATGAGACATTTGAATAGCATTGAACCCTATTCATTGCTATACTTGCTATTATACTTACTCCCTCTAATTTAAATTTTCTCTTTCATTTTTGAACCCCAAGTCTCCAAAATTTCTCTTGTTCTCTCCCAATTCTCTGTAGAACCCAGTTCTCCGAATTTGCTATAGTTCTTCCTCAATTCCTTGCTCTCGTTCTATATTAATTGAGGGTGAAACAAGATGGAATTGAAGCTTACAGAGCAGAAGCTTATAGAGAATGAAGGACTATGCTAGAGAGAAAAAAGAGTTGAGAAGCTTGAAGGATTACTTGAGGGGTGAAAGATGAGAAAATAAAGGCTTGGCAAATCGTAGGTACTTGTGTTATGTGTAATTCATGTGGTTTTTTAACGGATGAAACTTTATAGTATTTTCTTGCTCCAAAATACAATTTATGGTATTTATGTGCTACATATCAGAAATTTTATGGTATTTTTATGTCATTTAGCCTTTAAAAAATTTGGTTTATAAGTGCCGCAAAAAATAATTGAGGGTATATAAGTGTAAAAGTGAAACTGCAGGGTATTTAAGTGCAATTAAGCCTGATGCGGACCCACCAACCTCATTAAAGCGACACGTCACCACCGACCCCCTCTCTCCTTTCTCCCTCTCTCATCGAAGACCACCGCTCGTTCTCCCCCCT